CAATAATATCACAAGCAATCGTTTAAAAACATCACATTCCGTAATACACTAACACATTAAAATACCAAAAATGCAGTCATATAATTACAATGGCCAAGTCGTCACAATAAAATTGTTGTTCATCGCCATCCATCCATATAGCCATGAGTTATTGACTCACTCGTCAAATGTCAGTTTCCAGAACCAGGTTTTCACCTGTTTTCTAAAAGTCGAGAGAAGGGGCAGTTCTAATCTCCAATGGAAGAGAGTTCCAGAGCCGAGAAGCAACCACCAAGAAGGCCCTGTCCCTTGTCCCTACCAGGTGTGCTTGTGAGGCCGGTGGGACCGAGAGCAGGGCCTCTCCAGACGATCTTAACAATCTTGATTGTTCATAGGGGAGAATCCGTTTGGACAGGTAAACTGGGCCGGAGTCGTTTAGGGATTTATAGGTTAACACCAGCACTTTGAATTGTGCTCGGAAGCTAATTGGCAGCCAGTGGAGTTGGCGCAACAGGGGAGTAGTGTGCTCCCTGAACCCCGCTCCTGTTAGTAATCTGGCTGCCACTCGTTGGACTAGTTGGAACTTCCGGGCAGTCTTCAGGGGCAGCCCCACGTAGAGCGCATTACAGTAGTCCAATCTAGAGGTGACCAAGGCATGGGCCACCCCGGCCAGATCAGCCTTTGCGAGGTACGGTCACAGGAACAGATTTTTTTTTAACAAATTTTGTGAACATGAGTAGGTAGGGAACTGTCTTCGTGACCAGTGTGAATAATCTCATAAGAACACACGGTTGTGAAACTGAACTTCCCATTTGGGGGGCGTGTTTACTCCTGCACATTTTTCTCTGTGTTATATCTCTGGGTCGGGCTAAAATGGGATCCTTCTAATAACTTGTTCTTTCAAGGCTTGTAAGGGCAGAGGAAATCTGCTCTTGTTTGTATCATTCTTGACTAAATAAATACTTTGCCCTGTGGATACACTTTTGCGTGGTGTGTTTCCTTCTGATTTCCTTGAGCTGCGTTACACTGCTTTCCTTGAGTTGCTACCCATTGCAGATGTGTTCTGCTGAACTGTTGCCAGTTCTACACTGAACAGTTCTGTTCCTCTGAAGAGTTGCACTGCCAGCTGGGACATTCTATAGTCACGCAAACATTCTAGCCACTGGGAAGGCTCTGTAGGGAAATCTGTTGAGGGGAAGTTAGGGGGGAGTGGAGTGAGTGGGAGGAAGGCAGGTTGAACTGCTGACAGGCAACAATGTCGTCTTCATATTATTTTCAACAGTGATGGCATCCATCAACCTGAGGGTAGAACACATGGCTCTGATGATAACTTGCATTTTGTAAGGTTTATGGTCCAAAAGCAATCTTAAGGTCAGATCTTGCCACACTGTTCTGAAATTGGAAGTAAAGTTTGGGGAGCAAGTTTGCTATTACAGTAGAGTCTCGCTTATCCAACATTCGCTTATCCAATGTTATAATAATAATAATAATAACACTTTATTTATACCCTGCTACCATCTCCCCAGGGGACTCGGTGCGGTTTACATGAGGCCGAGCCCAAAATACAACAATACAAGCAATAACAATACAAGCAATTTAAAAACAACAAAACAATAAAACAATAACATAAGCATAATCAATAGGATAGCACACTTTAAAATCTATGGGTTCTGGGGATTCACAGCTGTTTCAATACATTGTGATGTTTTGGTGCTAAATTCGTAATTACAGTAAGTGCTACATAACGTTACCATGTATTGAACTGCTTTTTCTGTCCATTTCTGGTACAACAAGATGTTTACGTGCTTAATTTGCAAAATCATAATGTAACTTGATGATTAATAGGCATTTCCTTAATCCCTCCTTATTATCTAACATTTTCGCTTATCCAGCATTCTGCTGGCCCGTTTATGTTGGATAATCAAGACTCTACTTTACTTCCAAAGGGAAAGTTTTCCTTCTTGTTTCTGCAAAGTGGAAAGATTTTTGTATGGGTGAGTGTATGTTCCAATAAAAGTGTTTTTTTTTTAAAGATGAAGAGATCTAAGGCAAGTGAGAAATGGGGGAAATCAAAAGCTTTTTTGCACACATGTCCTGCTCTCCTGCTGCAGAAACGCCATGCTTTGTGGACTCTTTGATAAGATTCTTGGACCAAAAGCCCTGATGATTGGTAGCCTGACTGGTGGAAGATGGGCACAGCTTAGTTGTGCAATCTATGCATTACTGTCATGTTGTCTATATGGGACTGCCATTTAAGTTGCTTTGAAAGTGCAATTAGTACAGAACAGTGAGAACGGTGACTGGCCATTACTTGTCATGAGCTGGGCCACGCTCCGGGTATTATTGTAGACTTAGGAGGAGATTAGGCGTAAGACGCCCGTTAGTCGTTTACAGTCCCCACAGACCCATATATACGGCCACATCCTCCAAATTCAGCAATTTGCTCTGGTGGCACCTCCCTTCTGGGACACACCATATGCTATTTATTTATTTACTTATGACATTTATATGCCGCCCTTCTCACCTTGAAGGGGACTCAGAGCTGCTTACAAGATATATACACACAATATATATAATATTATTAGCATAGCACAACATCAGCATTAAACATTACCATATTGGACCATACCATCACATTGCAACACTATTAGTAATATTACAAGATGGCACATGTAGCTGTCTTTTAGGAAAAGGCAGGGTTAATGAGCAGAAATAGGGGTTAATAAGGATGCACAACAGTAATAGTGGTGAAATGGAGTCTGCACTATGCTGCAAGATGGTGTTCCTTATATAAATTAAGATGGCTGCTGCATTAAAAACTTGCCTCTTTATCTCGGTTTTCTTTTGCCGTTGTCTTGAAAAGTTCTATACAATTTATTTCAGTCCTTATTTGAGGTAGCCTTGGAATTTGTAAGGTTTCTATGTCCATCTTCTGGTCATCAAAGACCCTGTAGAGTGGCTTCAGAACTAGATAGATCCGTGGAAACTCTTCTGTGGCTGTTGAACAGTTTTAGAGAAATGTGTCCTCTTCTTGAGAAGCATCAAGTGTTCATTAAAGGCAGGTCTGTACAACCTGTGGCCCTACAGCTGTTTTGGCCTCCAACTCCCAGAAGCCCCTATTGCCAGGTTGTCCAATGGCCAAGAATTCTGGGAGTTGGAGGCCAAAATTCTGGGAGCTGGAAGGCTGCAGGTTGTGCAGGCCTGGTTAAAGATATTCTTCTCTGTTATGCAGTGGAACTCTCTGCCCCGGAGGGAGTGTGGTGGAGGCTCCTTCTTTAGAAGCTTTTAAACAGAGGCTGGATGGCCATCTGTCGGGTGATTTGAATGCAATATTCCTGCTTCTTGGCAGAATGGGGTTGGACTGGATGGCCCATGAGGTCTCTTCCAACTCTAGGATTCTAGGATTCTATGCGTAACTTACCGTGCAGTCATGTGATCGTTCAAATATTTTCTGTTGCAAAATAATTGAAACAGATTTTTTTTCCTGAAAATGTATATAGGGCCATTGGTTTCTTATTTTCCAAGTGTATTAGGTCACACCAGAAGCGACTTGCAGTTTCTCAGGTCGCTCCTGACACGAAAAATAAAAAAAAGTCACACTGGGACGCTGCTGCTCCAAAAGCTATATCAGAAGTAACATAGACTGGTCCTGTATGTGTTGACTTTAGCCATGAATTCAATGTAATGTATAAATGTAATGCAACTATAGTTAGAGGCTTGTGTTACAATTTGTCTTTCCCTTTTTCTTTCTAGCCTTCATATCGTTAAGGCTATAATGAAACAGAAGCGTTTTCATTGCTTGGAAACATTTTTCACTGTTGTTTGAATTAGGCCTAAAGGATATTTGATGAAAATTTTATGAGACGTGAATGACATCATTATGTCAGAATCACAAATGTGCCCATCAATGATTCTGTGACCAGTGACTGAGATAAATTGCTCCCCTTGCTAAAACCATTAGCCATTTTGGAAAAAAAAAAAAAAAGGGAACGTAAGAATGCATTTTTAAGCCATTTCCTAGAGGCAATAGAACCATGCTAATCAGGGGATTGAAAGTTATAAATGTAACCTAATTTTTGTGTGTTTTGACTTTCAGCTTTGTGGTGTTCTTGGAAAGTTTTGCACCCCTTGTGAATTCTCTGAACCTTGGCATTGCCAGCCCATTTCTCTTGGGCCCTCCTCCTCCTTTGCAGCTTGCTCACATTAAGACACAGTTGGCACTTCAGCAGTTGAACTCTGTTGCTTCAAGCCAGTCTGTCGCACCTTACGCTTTGCTCAATGAGGCATTCCTGAAGGCCGCCATGTTTAACCCTAGAGGAAACATGGCCCCCAGGCCAAGGAGGCCCAATCCTCCCGGTCCCATGCCACAGGGGCCTTTTCAGGGGCCCGGGCCAGGAGGTCTTCAGAGGCAGCACCCGGCGAGTCCTACGCACAGAATGCCCCAAAGGTTTATGGGACCAGACATAAGGCCGGGGTTCCCAAGGCCAAATGTTCCGGGCAACCAACACAGAATGGACCCAAGGCAAATGGGGCCGCCACCGACAAACGACGGGCACGCTCCTCAATGGGACAATCCTTTTCCCTCTGGAAATAGTAACCAGGGCCAGCCTGGTCCTGGAAGGATGGCAGAACCTAGCCCACCCGTTCAGAGGCGCTACACAAACGAGAGTGCCTCCAGCATCTTGGCCAGCTTTGGCTTGTCGAATGAAGACTTGGAAGAACTTAGTCGCTATCCCGATGACCAACTGACACCTGAAAACATGCCTTTAATCTTGAGGAATATCCGCATGCGCAAGACGACTCGCCCGATGCCCGGTTTGCCTCAGGACAGAGACAACAAGGAGAGCTTTCATGGCGACGATGGCCGGGGCCCCATGGTGAAGGGCAAGGTCATTGATTATGGCCACGAAAGCAAATACGAATATGACGAAGGGCCGCTTGAGCTCAACGTCTACAGCTCAGACATAGAAGCCGAGGAGAGTGCCAAGGAGTTTCAGGCCCCACACTCTGTGACCAGTAAGCAGATGCACGCAGTGGAAGAGCTCATCAGGCAGATGGGGTTCCAGAGGGGCACGCCGAGCGGCCAGTCTTTCTTCCCCATGGATACCAAGCCGCCTGTCCCACCCATGATGCCTCCGGTGGTGCCCTCCGCCCCTCCGCCCAACATGCCTCCTCCTCCGCCACCCATTATGCCACCAATGATGCCCGACATGAGCCGGCCGCCACCCCCGTTTGTCCCCGAGGTGACGGGGGGCCTGAAGGACAGAACTCTTCAAGAATCCAAGGCTTCTCACGGCCCCCGTGCGCCCGTCAGCAGCCAGAAGAAATTCTCAAAAGAGACCGAGGGCCCCATCTCCTCTCCTTTCGGAGTGGTGAAGGCCTCTTGGCTTCCGAATTTCGCAGAAATCAACGCCCAGAAGATGAAGAGGCTCCCAACGCCGTCAATGATGAATGACTACTATGCCATGTCTCCAAGAATATTTCCACATATATGCTCACTCTGTAATGTAGAATTTAGACATTTGCAGGTGAGTCCTTATTTTCCTCACAGATAATTGCGTACATGTATACACTGAGGCTTAGTTGGCTCATGGGTCGTTGTCTATTTTTATTCCCCCTGAGATGACCAGCAACCCAGAAGACTGGAAATAAATGTTCGTATCTGATTTGAACAGTAAGCTTCACTTGGGCCTGGCTGTTTCTAAAGAAACCACAGCAGCTGTAGTCAATAGAACAGTTAGGGACTGATCTGTGCCAAGCAAACAATCACTTAAGTCCCTTCATGTAAACGGGGTTGGCGTGGCGTTGCACTGGTCCCAGCAGTTCCCAGGGTCTAATGTTAGGTACCTTATCTTGAATAGAATTGTAGAAGAGTAGAGGGATCCATGGAAGCTGATCAAAACTCAATTTTCTTGCTACCAGGTGTGTTCTGGGGACATGAAGGGGTGTTTCTGCCATGGGGGGGGGGGGACCAGTGGCACTTCCTTTTTGCTCTCTATTTTTAAAAAATTGCTCCCTGTGTTTTCAGGGGCTCAAGTGCTCCAAACACGTAGCAGGAATGTCACACATACTCCGCAAAGTCAAAATAATGTTGACTTTTGGGGGCCACACACAGTCCTGCAGTGCTGCTGGTTCCGGTGTAACTATTGAAGTGGCTGGTGGGCATGTATTTGAACCCATACTCATCAATTTGTGTGTATGACCAGATTGGATTACTTTAGGTTTTTTTCTGTAGCATCACCAATGTGCCAAAAGTGTTTAAAAAATCCCTCAAATAAATAAATACATAAATAAGCTGCAGGTGGGCAAGTCAGAGAGCTTAGTGTGGCTACAGCATCATGCAACATCTCCTATTATGTCCAGTATCGCTCCAGCTTTTTAGTTCACTTCTTAGAATGGCAGGTGAATTATTAGCATCACAAGAACCAAAGTTGAATTGTGTCCTTAGTTGTCCTGCCTTGATTTTTCTCATGGATTTGCCAGTGTGGGATCTATCCAAGAGTCTTAAAACTGCTATGAGAAGTTGACTAAAATAATTTTTGTTTGAAGAATTATGCTCCTGTTTGTTTGAAGAATTATGCCCTCCTGCTTCTTGTCAGAAATGGCATCGATGTAGATCTTTTAGATCAGTGGTTCTCAACCTGTGGGTCCCCAGATGTTTTGGCCTTCAACTCCCAGAAATCCTAATAGCTGCTAAACTGGCTGGGATTTCTGGGAGTTGTAGGCCAAAACACCCGGGGACCCACAGGTTGAGAATCACTGTTTTAGATGAAGGAGTGCCATGATCTCAGCCACAGAAATGCAATGCTGCTAGAAATCTGGAGACACACTGAGATTTTCAACGATTTTATGTTAATTTCAAAATTTAATATATTTCAGGCCTCTGATAATTATGAATAGATTCAAAATGACATTTTAGTCAACCACTGTTTGGGGTTTTTTCCCACCTCTACACTGTTAGCGTTTAGCGGAAGTATTTGCACAGGCTTGGTAGAAATCATGGACTCTGGAGACTTCTGGTTACAAAGCAGGTTCAATTTACTTAGAGCAGTTCAAAATACATCCATTACAGTACGCGACTAGACAAGAAGTACTCAGTAGGCAGAACAAAGGAAGTAGAAGTGTAAACAATTCTGCGGCTGCTTGGCTGATATCAGATACTCCCTAATTTCTCTCACAACTCAGCTCAGAGAGTATCTCAGGACTACTATCTCACAGCCTCAAACATAAACATACATCACAGCAGTTCAGTCTTGTGGCATTCCATATTACAACTACATGAAATTACATTTAAAATACATTACATACTTCAACATATTCTGACATACACGTACCTCAAGGGCCTTGCATTCTCATTCCCATGCCTTTGAAACAGCTAGTACACTCAATATGTTGTGACCTGTAATATATGCAGAGATACTCGTGAAGTATTGAATTTTAATTATTATGTGCTTAGCTGCTCAGAAATAAGTTCATTTTTTGTCCATTTAGACTTCCCCCTAAGCTCTGCCTTGAAGCTACACTCAGTTTCCCAGATATTCATTTCTCCCTGTATCATAGCAACGTTTCTCGTATTGTGATTGCTGTCCTCACGTTACTGCCCGCACTGGCGCATAGGCTCAGAAAAGTTAAACTGGATTATGTCTTTCCCTGATAACATAGTGTTGGAGCATTGAATTGTAACATATATGTTTCTTATTAATTGGATTGTATGCTTCTGCAATGCACAATATTTTTCTAAGCATTTTGCTGTCCATAAATGGAAAGCTAAGGTATTCTCTGCCTGTCAGTCAGCTATCTATCTAATAGACATGATACCAGGCCCCAGGCGGCAGGGATAAAATACTCAGAAACCTCCAAGAAGCACTACTTTTCTCCTTGTTACACCCTTCTCCTTCCTGGGAGTTATGGGGGCCACTTTCCTAGTGTCCCTTGGCTGTTGAATGCAGCAAAGTCCTCTGAGTTGGGCTGTTGTAGAATTCCTGTGAGAAATATTTGGTTTTTGATAGCCTCCAGAGAAGGGAGTTTCCCAGTTGTGAGAGCAAAGAAATGCTCTTTTCAGGGTACTAAGCCTAGGGGCTTATAACATCTTGCTCATGATGCATGTTGATTGGCAAAAGGAAAACACATACTGCATTTTCTCGGGCTTTAGTACAAATGTGGTAGACCAATTTGACTTGATATTTCAGCTCAATGTAATTCTATAACATTTAATATCTTCAGTTTACTTAAAATGTGTTTAACGAGTTTTGATCACTCTGGGGTTTTTTAACCTTTGAAACAGGTTAGAGCAGGGGTCCTCAAACTTAGGCCCAGGGGCTGAATATGGCCCTCCAAGGGCATTTACCTGGCCCTCGCTCAGGGTCAACCTAAGTCTGAAATGACTTAAAAGCACACAACAACAACAATCCTATCCTATCAGTCAAAAGCAGGCCCACACTTCCCATTGAAATACTACAATTGTTAAAACTGTTCATTTAAATTATTTTTTTAATTTTATTGTTGTAAAATGTTGTTTTTGCACTACAAATAAGATATGTACAGTGTGCATAGGAATTTATTCATTTTTTTCCAAATTATAATCTGGCCCTCCAACAGTTTGAGGAACTGTGACCTGGCCCTCTTTAAAAGGTTTGAGGACCCCTGGGTTAGAGCAGGGGTCCTCAGACTACAGCCTGAGGGCCGGATACGGCCCTCCAAGGCCATTTACCTTGCCCTCACTCAGGATCAACCTAATTCTGAAATGACTTGAAAGCACACAACAACCACAACAATCCTACCTCATCAGCCAAAAGCAGGCCCACACTTCCCACTGAAATACTAATAAGCTTATATTTGTTAAAATTATTCTTCATTTTAATTATTGTATTATTTTAAAGTGTGTTTTGCACTACGAATAAGATATGTGTAGTGTGGATAGGATTCATTCATGTTTTTTTTCCAAATTATAATCTGGCCCTCCAACAGTTTGAGGGACTGTGACCTGGCCCTCTTTAAAAAGTTTGAGGACCCCTGGGTTAGAGTGTTCTTATTTATTTATTTATTTATTTGCAGCTTTTCTATTCGGTCCTTCTCCTCACCCTGCAGGGGACTCAGGGCGGATTACAGTGTACACATATATGGCAAACATTCAATGCCAATTTTAACATACAACATATACAGACATAAACAGAGGCTATTTAACTTTTTCTGGCTGCCAGGGGAGCTGTCGCTTTCATCGTCCATCTGCGACACTGATGAAGTACTTCCGCATTCCCCGCATGCTTTTTACCTTTTGTCTGGCCGCCAGGGGAGCTGTCGCTTTCATCGTCCATCTGCGACACTGATGAAGTACTTCCGCATTCCCCGCATGCTTTTTAGCTGGAGTCTTTTTTATGGCCTCATAAATCAGTTAATTTAGCCTCCCCACACTTTAAGGTGGTACCTAATTTCTCTACTTGACAGATGCAACCGTCTTTTGGGTTGCAAAGGTCAACAACAGGCTACACACAATTGGTTGGAAACCCATTCCAACCCGGGCTGGCTTCGAACTCATGACCTTTTGGTCAGAGTGATCTTAATGCAGCTGACACTCAGCCAGCTGCGCCACAATCCCGATATGTACAGTGTGCATAGGAATTTATTCATTTAAAAATATATAATCTGACCTTCTAACAGTTTGAGGGACTGTGACCTCTGGCCCTCTGTTTAAAAAGTTTGAGGACCCCTGCGTTAGAGTGTTCTTACACTCCTGTCTCTGCCATAAGAGTGTGGTTTTGTAGCAGGCATGGGCAAGCTTTGGCCCTCCAGGTGTTTTGGACTTCAAAACACCAGAAGACTGTTAGGAATTGTGAGAGTTGAAGTCCAAAACACCTGGAGGGACAAGGTTTGCCCATGCCTGCTTTGTATCATGTGCTAGGAATGTCACTCCCTCTTCCCTGCTTGTGCCACCCATTGACTGAGCTTGAATGGAGACTTGATGGCCAGAGCAGGTATCGCGGCCTTTTCTGTGTAGGAAGAGACACTGAAGCTGTGTGTTCCCAGGGTTAAAAGGGGCCTGCAGGACCTTGCTACCATGGCACCTGCAGCCCACGTCTTGCATTTAGATTCCTCTCCTTGTATTTCTCCTAAACTGCCTTTTGGGTAATGCTGCTGAAAGAAAGAAAAAGCAATGTTGTCTTTATTCACTGTGGACAACCCAAACGCTACTGCCCCTTGTTGGAGGATAAACATGAAAAGCCTGTGCAGGAGTGGCACTCTTTGGGTGAAGACTGAAAGATCGGTGCCATGGAGATCTGTCCAGCATCCCATAATCCTCACGTTCCGTCCATGATGCCTGTCTGCTTTCTCCCTCCTGCAGGACTGGATCGAGCATCAGAATTCCTCAACCCACCTCGAGAGTTGCCGCCAGCTGCGCCAACAGTAAGAACCTCCATTTAGTTTGTGCGCAATTTGTGTGATAAGGATGCCTGTCATTCTCACCCTTTCTCAAGCCTTTGAATTCTGTGGGGTGTGGGTAACTGCTGGAAATAGTTCCATACTATAGAGTTTTGCACAGGCATTGGGCAAACTTTGGCCCTCGTTAGGAATTGTGGGAGATGTAGTCCAAAGCACCTGGAGGGGCAAAGTTTACCTTTGCCTGGTTTAGCTTTGGTCACACTCCACCAACAAGCTATCCTCTGGCTCCATCGATGTGCAGTACCCATCTGTGGATGAGAAAGATTAGTGGCTTTTATGCATGGGTTGCATGTAACTAGAATGGAAGAAAAGCCATCCAGGATTGGTCTTCAGGCTTACCTTAAGGTCACTTTCCGCCTGACTACCGATCCACAGAGGCTTACAGTGCAGCCTGAAACAGCTGGGAAAGGACCAGTGGTGTGTAGCCTGAGACTCCAAAGGGTGAGGTGGAGCAGAGAGGATGAAATTGCTGGGAAACCTGAACCTTTTCTTGCAAATGTAACCAGCAGTTTTAGGTGGGTCGGTAGTAGTTGGGGAAAAAAGAAGGGCTATCAGATAGATACTTGCTGTAAGTAGCAGAACAAAAGTGTTGGGGCAACCAAATGAATTGGAAACCTAGCTGTAGAGATGGCAGGAGTGGGTGTCTGCAAGAGTCTCAGGAGGAATGGCTCAGGATCCCGTTGGACACGCAGTTCCTGCTGCAGGACTTTGAGCAGCGGAAACAGCAAAGTCCAGTCCAGCAGGACCCAAAAGGCCTACAGTCTAGCTTCGGCAAGCTTGGTTGGAAGAGAGGCTGTTTCCCCACAATTGGGTCATTAGCTATGAAAGATGCAAGGACAGAGGAAATATTAATGTGGACTAGGTGTTTTCACAGTGAGCTAGATGCAGCATCAAACTGTATATATTCCACACCTTGAAGGAGAGGGAAAGAATATGGAAGGGGCCATTTAATTTCTTGCATTGAAGAAGGTAAGAAAGTCTTCAGTGGCAAATGAGTGAGAAAATTGTTTGGCTTCTTTACATATTATTTTTCTTTCTTAGTCTGATTTAACACAGTGGATTAAATGCTTTGAGATGGTTGAACAGAAGCTCTCTGAAGCTCTAGGTGCTCTTACTGCCTATTACAGGGAAAACCAACTGATCCCCAACCCATCTAAAACACAGACATGTGCCTTTCATCTCAAGAACAGACAAGCATCCCGAGCTCTGAAGATCACCTGGGAAGGAATCCCACTGGAGCATTGCAGCACCCAAATACCTGGGAGTCACTCTGGACCGTGCTCTGACCTACAAGAAGCACTGCCTGAACATCAAGCAAAAGTGGGTGCTAGAAACAATATCATACGAAAGCTGACTGGCACAACCTGGGGATCACAACCAGATACAGTGAAGACATCTGCCCTTGCGCTGTGCTACTCTGCTGCTGAGTATGCATGCCCAGTGTGGAACACATCTCACCACACTAAAGCAGTGGGTGTGGCTCTTAATGAGACATGCCGCATTATCACAGGGTGCCTGCGCCCTACACCACTGGAGAAATTACACTGTCTAGCCGGTATTGCACCACCTGACATCCGCCGGGAAGTAGCAGCCAATAGTGAAAGGACCAAGGCAGAGACATCTCCAGCCCATCCCCTGTTTGGGTATCAGCCAGCACGTCAATGACTTAAATCTAGAAATAGTTTTCTAAGATCTACAGAGACACTCACTGGAACACCTCAGCAAGCGAGAGTCCAAAAGTGGCAGGCCCAAACCCAGAACCTCAACCAATGGCTGATACCAAATGAGAGACTCCCTCCTGGGCACACAGAAGACTGGGCGACCTGGAAGGCACTGAACAGACTGCGCTCTGGCACCACGAGATGCAGAGCCAACCTTCAGAAATGGGGCTACAAAGTGGAATCCTCGACATGCGAGTGTGGAGAAGAGCAAACCACTGACCACCTGCTGCAATGCAACCTGAGCCCTGCCACATGCACAAGGGAGGACCTTCTTGCAGCAACACCAGAGGCACTCCAAGTGGCCAGATACTGGTCAAAGGACATTTAATCAACTCTCATACTCACAAATTCTGTAATCTGCTTGTTTGCTTTGTTTCTGTTAGAAATGTAATATAATTTGACTGGTTGTTCTGACACGACAAATAAATATGCGAGGGGCCTCAAGCCAGTACAGGTTAAGCATCTCTTCTCCAAACTGCTTGGGAGCCGGAGTGTCTCGGCTTTTGGATTTTACATATGACATTTTGGAGGTCTAAACAACAAATTCACCTAAGTTTCATATAAAACTTCCACACATGGCTGGAATGTAATCTTATTTACAAAAATATATAAAACAAAGGTGTCACTATCTTAACTACCAGGGTGGAGATCTATGGGTTGTGGAGTGCTTTGGATTTTGAAACTCTGGATCAGGGAGGAGCAATCTTTGTTTGCAATACAGAGTAGTCATGTGCATTCGGGACTTCCCTTGATCCGTTTTGTGTCCCTGCTTTCAGTGGGTCCCCGATCCGTTTTCACCTGAGCCTCCTGAAATCAGGAGGTCAGATATTTGTTTTGTATTTTTGTTTTAGTTTTCATTGGGGGGGGGGGGGATTTCACCCGTATGTTCCTTGCAATCCATCCAAAAAGCAGGTCTGCCTACCTTTTGTATCAATTGTATTATTATTTCAGGAAGGGCCCTTCCGTTTCGTGCCATCCGAATGGACGGAATGAAACAGAAATGAAATGAATGGGACCAATTTTGGGGGCCTTGACTAGTCCAGAGGGGGAGATGGTTCTGTCGTGATGCTACACAATCTCTTATGTTCAAGTAGGAATGTGGCCGGCCAGTACCTTGCACTGATGATGTTATTTTTGAAACAGGTACCCAGACTGGAATCCAGAATCTCTTTCTTCACCAGAAAGGTAACATGCTTTTTGATGGGCGCTTTTTTAGAATGGGGCCTGGCATCAGTGGGTGGGAGAATTATATTCTAGATCTGTAGTCGAGTCTTTGCAGTTGCTTGCTGGAATCGATGGTGGGCATGTGCCCATTTATCACAGTTGGGCTTTTTCTGTATGGAGGTGTTTATTTATTTATTTACTTACTTGCTTACTATATTTGTATACTGCCCCTTTCAGCTATTTTCTGTTTATGAGTTTTATTTATTGTTGTATTACTGTTGCTATTGTTTTATTGTTGTATTGTGGGCTCGGCCTCATGTAAGCCACACCGAGTCTCTTGGGGAGATGGTAGCGGGGTACAAATAAAATAATAATAATAATAATAATAATAATAATAATAATAATAATAATAATAATAGGTACTGCCTGAACTGCCTGGTTAACACTTGAAAATGGCATAGATTTCTTTTGTGTGGCATTAGTTTGAATTACAACATTGTGTGGTCACCCTCCCCAGTTATTCTCTGCTGATTTCTGTGAGAATTCTGTCAGCCCAGAACTGATGGGGGGGTGGAGGGCTGAGGGTTTTATAGGCTATTTTAAGTGTATTGTAATTTAATCTGTTTTTTACCACACTGTACTATTTAATTGTTTTTTAACTTTTGCATTGCGTTTTTAAAACTTGACTACAGTGCGGGATTGCTCGCTGCCTTGAGTTCCCACAGCGAGCAAGGTGGGGTACAAATAAAATTAATAACAACAACAACTTCCTCCTTGGTCCATTTATGCTGATGCTGCCTTCCAAAATCAGTAGTATCCTTAAAAAATAAAGACAGTATATCATTATTTTTGAAACAATTCTGCTGCTGTTTATCTCTTTCAAGTCCAACTTTTTTAAAAAAGCCTATGAGATTCTCATTCTGATTATTCTTTGAATGTGGATGTGGAGATTGTGGCGGGATTGTGGCGCAGCTGGCTGAGTGTCAGCTGCATTAAGATCACTCTGACCAAAAGGTCATGAGTTCAAAGCCAGCCCGAGTTGGAGTGGGTTTCCAACCATTGCGTAGCCTGTTGTCGACCTTTGCAACCCGAAAGACAGTTGCATCTGTCAAGTAGGAATATAAGGTACCACCGTAAAGTGTGGGGAGGCTAAATTAACTGATTTATGAGGCCATAAAGAAGACTCCAGCAAAGCATTCCAGCGGGGAAGCATGTGGGGAATGCGGAAGTGCTTCATCAGCGTTGCAGATGGAAGATGAAAGCGACAGCTCCCCTGGCGGCCAGAAAAAGTTAAATAGCCTCTGTGTATGTCTGTATATGTTTGTATGTCAAAAATTGGCATTGAATGTTTGCCGTATATGTGTACACCGTAATCCGCCCTGAGTCCCCTGCGGGGTGAGGAGAAGGGCGGAATATAAAAGCTGTAAATAATAAATAATAATAAGAGACCACATAACACCCAAATGAGTGTTTAACCCCTTATTTACTGGCTGTTAGGAATTGTGGAAGTCTTAAACACCTGGAAGGAAGGGCGAAGTTTGCCCATACCTGTTTTAGACTTTAAAAATGAACCTTTATGTTAAACCTGCGCAAACTCCTTCATTCCCAGTTTTTTTTTTTTTTAGAAAAAGGGGGGGGGGTGTGTAAATTGCAAAGGTAGTATTTATTTACTTATTTACTTCATTTCTTCCCTGCCTTTCTCAACCCCGATGGGGAGTCAAGGCAATGTATTGTTGAAGGCTTTCATAGCTGGAATCATCGGGTTGTTGTAGGTTTTTCTGGCTATAGGGCCAAGGCCATGACTCAAGGCAGCTTACAAATCTGGCAAAAATTCAGTGCTTCACAGGTAAACAATAAAACACATCTCATCAAAATATAAACAATCTAAGCAATTAAAACGCATATCAATCAATCAGACAGATTCAGTGTTCCAATGTGCCTTCCCGGAATAATGATCCCATAGCACTTTGTCCCTCCAAAGCACTTTATACTTTTACGTCCGCTCGTATGTCTTCCACAAACGCCACTATCACCTTTTCGTCCATGCCTCAGCACTACTTCCAATTTTAATTTTTACATTTGGCCTTCCCACAGTTTTAACTGTATGTTGTCTTTTTGATAATGTTATATGTTTATCATTTATGTTTTATTTTAATTGCCTGTATTGTTGTGATTATTGCCTGTATTGTTGTGTTTGGGCTCGGCCTCATGTAAGCCACACTGAGTCCCTTGGGGAGATGGTAGCAGCGTACAAATGAAGTATTATTATTATTATTACTATTACTACTATTATTATAAAATACTGAGTCATGATCTCATGTCCAAATTGTTTTCCAAATCCAATTTGTTGGACTGAGGTCTCATTCTGTAGTTCCCCATTCACCAAACACATGCATAAAAAGCATTTTCCTAGTATCTGAGAAACATTGAAGGCTTCCTTCTCCTCCCTTTTCTGCCCATCAGACATGAAAGCAGCAAGAAGGAGAACCACTCTCCCAAGCGACGTACTTCCGGTTCTAGCCCCAAGCGCTCCAGGCGCTCCAGTTCCAGCCATGCCAGGCGCCGGACCCGATCACGATCCAGGAGCCCCCGCTATTACAGGGCTGGGAAGCCAAGGAGCCGGAGCAGAGAGCGGAGCCGGAGCCGAAAGAGGAGCCGGAGCAGAGAGCGGAGCCGGAGCAGGATGCCAAGCCGGAGCAGGGTGCGCAGCCGTAGCCCAAGGCGGCCAGACCGGTCGTGGTCTCCAGTCCGGTCATGGACTTTCACCTCTAGTTACCTTCGGCGATATGATACAAGGAAGGAGCTAGAAGCATTGTCCCGCTCTGCAGGTAAGGCAGACGCTACAGATCCTTTGGCGACAGATGCAGAATGCTGGGTGGACCAGCGGAGTCGTTCCATGCATTCATTTTTATTTCCTTTAGAACAGAGATCCTCAGACTTTGTAAACAGAGGGCCAGGTCACAGTCCCTCAAACTGTTGGAGGGCCGGATTATAATTTGAAAAAAACAGGAATGAATTCCTATGCACACTGCACATATCTTATTTGTAGTGCAAAAAACACTTAAAATAATACAATAATTAAAATGAAGAACAATTTTAACAACTATAAATTTATTTATAAATTTATTAGTATTTCAATGGTTGTGTGGGCCTGTTTTTGGCTGATGAGATAGGGTTGTTGTTGTTGTTGCTGCTTTGTGCTTTCAAGTCATTTCAGACTTAGGTTGACCCTGAGTGAGGGCCGGGTAAATGACCTTGGAGGGCCGTATCTGCCCCCCCCCCCCCCAGCCTTAGTTTGAGGACCCCTGATGTAGAGTTTGGTCCAGATCCATCATTGATATCTAGATGTAGGTGAACTACAACTCAAAAACCAAAGGACACTGCCCACCAAACCCTTCCAGTATTTTCTGTTGGTCATGGGAGAACTGCGTGCCAAGTTTGGTTCAATTCCATCGTTGGTGGGGTTCAGAATGCTCTTTGATTGGAGATAAACTATAAATCCCAGCAACTACAACTCCCAATTATCAGGATTCTATTTTCCCCAAACTCCACTAGTGTTCACATTTGGGCATATTGAATATTCGTGTAGAGTTTGGTCCAGATCCATCATTGTTAGAGTCCACAGTGCTCTATGGGTGTAGGTGTACTACAACTCCCAAACTCAACGTCAATGCCCACCAAACCCTTCTAGTGCTTTCTGTTGGCCATGGGGATTTTGTGTGCCAGGTTGGGTTCAATTCCATTGTTGGTGGGGTTCAGAATGCTCTTTGATTGTAGGTGAACTATAAATCCCAGCAACTACAAGTCCCAAATGACAACATCAATCTCTTCCAACCCCACCAGTATTCAAATTTGGGTGTATCAGGTATTTGTGCCAAATTTGGTCCAGTGAATGAAAATCCATCCTGCATATCAGATATTGACATTACTGTTCATAACAGTGGCAAAATTACAGTTATGAAGTAGCTACAAAAATAATGTTATGGTTGGGGGTCACCACAACATAAGGAATTGTATTAAGGGGTCACGACATTAGGTAGGTTGAGAACCACTGGTGTAGGTCAACAAGCGATGCGTAACCTTTTGACTTTGGTATTTCCTCTGGCCATTGTTGCAGCCAATATTGACCTGTTGTAGAAACTCCTTCAAGGAGCCAAGTACTTTACGTAGGTTTTTTCTCCCCCCTCCTTCACAGACAGGGCCTCAGGATCCACGGGGAGACGCTTGGGGACACACAAGCACGAGTCCTCCCGGACCTCTAGCCGAGAGAGTTCAGGAAAAAAGAGGGTGCCAGCAGAAGGAGAGAAGAAACCCTCCGGTAGTAGCACTTTGAAGACGGAGGCGGCCTCCGCGGATGCTAAAGAAAAGCCCTCGGATGCTGCCGGGGAGCCGAGCAAAGCAGGGACGGCAGCCCCGAGGAAGGAGAAGAAGAGCTCCCCTGTTCCTGAGAACTGGGTCAGTAGCCTTTCCTGGGGCAGAGGGTTCGGGCCACTGTTGCAGCACGGCACCCACGTGAGGCATCAGGTCCTTTGAATGACAAGAAGCCTTCAAAGTCTTGGGGTCAACCTGGTCCTGGCTGTTGGGTATTTCTTTTTCTTTGTTATTTATGTTTTGTATCCCGCCCTCTCGCCAGTCCTCAGAGCAGCTTGCAAGACCTAAAAGAAAACGTTGGCAAAAGAGACCCAAATTATTTATTTATTATTATTTACAGCTTTTATATTCCACCCTTCTCACCCCACAGGGGACTCGGGGTGGATTACAGTGTACACATACATGCCAATTTTTGACATACAGACATAGACAGACGCTATTTAACTTTTTTCTGGCCGCCAGGGGAGCTGTCGCTTTCATCGTCCATCTGCGACACTGATGAAGCGCTTCCGCATTCCCCGCATGCTTCCCCGCTGGAATGCTTTTGCTGGAGTCTTTTTTATGGCCTCATAAATCGGTTAATTTAGCCTCCCCACACTTTTTTTTAAGGTGGTACCTAATTTTTCTACTTGACAGATGCAACTGTCTTTCAGGTTGCAAAGGTCGACAACAGGCTACACACAATTGGTTGGGAACCCACTCAAACCCAGGCTGGCTTCGAACTCATGACCTTTTGGTCAGAGTGATCTTAATGCAGTGGACACTCAGCCCGCTGCGCCACAATCCCGGTGCAAATTACAAAATTTAATTAACCAAACATGAGAACCAGAGGAAAGCACACAGTGGCTTTTTAGGGTTAACCTTCATCTTGGGGGCAAAGTGCTCTGGAGTCCCTTCCAGTAGAGGAAAGACCTTGCGTGAGGTATCCCAGCAACGAATCCGCAGGCCGTTCAGGAGAATGGCCAGTCTCTGCCTTCTGTTAGCCATGCCAGGCAAGGATAGGTCCTTCTTTTTACATAGTTCCATTTCTGAACACATTTTGTTGGGTGAGTGGGCTTATTAACAAAAGACCTTCCACATAAATGCACAGTAGAGTAACAACAGCAGCAGCGTGACTCAGCACCAGTAGTCCAAAGTGATAAAAACGACAAAAGCTTTATCTTTTGCATAGGAGGCTTTCCTTTATAGCAAAATAATGTGGTCACACTGTTTACAAGAACAAGGTTTCCAAAACATAAATAAAAGTTCTTTATGGGTTGTTGTATGTTTTTTCATGCTATATGGCCATGTTCCAGAGGCATCCTCTCCTGACGTTTCGCCTGCATCTATGGCAAGCATCCTCAGAGGTAGTGAGGTGTATGAATATCACCTCACTACCTCTGAGGATAAAAAACCAAGATTATGGCAACAAGAATGATTGACAACTGGAAAATAGAGGGAGAAACCGTGGAGGCCGTGACAGACTTTGTATTTCTAGGTGCAAAGATTACTGCAGATGCAGACTGTAGCCAGGAAATCAGAAGACGCTTACTTCTTGGGAGGAGAGCAATGTCCAATCTCGATAAAATAGTAAAGAGTAGAGACATCACACTGGCAACAAAGATCCGCCTAGTCAAAGCCATGGTATTCCCTGTAGTAACCTACGGATGTGAGAGCTGGACCTTAGGGAAGGCTGAGCGAAGGAAGATCGATGCTTTTGAGCTGTGGTGTTGGAGGAAAGTTCTGAGAGTGCCTTGGACTGCGAGAAGATCCAACCAGTCCATCCTCCAGGAAATAAAGCCCGACTGCTCACTGGAGGGAAAGATACTAGAGACAAAGTTGAAGTACTTTGGCCACATCATGAGGAGACAGGAAAGCCTAGAGAAGACAATTATGCTGGGGAAAGTGGAAGGCAAAAGGAAGAGGGGCCGACCAAGGGCAAGATGGATGGATGGCATCCTTGAAGTGACTGGACTGACCTTGAAGGAGCTGGGGGTGGTAACGGCCGACAGGGAGCTCTGGCGTGGGCTGGTCCATGAGGTCACGAAGAGTCGGAGACGACTGAACGAATGAACAACAACAACCTCTGAGGATGCTTGCCATAGATGCAGGCAAAACGTCAGGAGAGAATGCCTCTAGAACAAGGCCATATAGCCCAAAAAAAATTACAACAACCCACTAAAAATACCTCATTAATTTTTAATATTTCTGACACATTTCAGTCAGTTGTCAAAAGGATGTGATATACATAAGAGGCTTTGGCCCAATGTTTTGCTGCATGACTCTTAAATTCCTTGTTTCGCCTGAGCTGTTTTTGTGCCCATGGCAGAAGGTGAACGGGTAAGGGACTGAAACGTTGCTTTGCTTTGTAGCTTTTGTCGAGTAAAGCCTGGAGTTGTGGCACAGTTCTTCACATATCGGACTTACCAGATGACGGCTATACAGAGCAAGATATCACAAAGATTGTCCAGCCCTTTGGAAAAGTTAGCAGTATCTTAGTGCTTCACTCTAAAAAAGAGGTAAGCCCTTCCTTGGCTTCTAAGGTGCCATTTCTGTGCATTAATCCCATCTTTTCTCTGTCTCGGTTACTGAGGTTGGCAGTATTTGAACGCCAAGGCAGAGTCTGTGCCGAGTCACCTGGAATTGTATTTGTTTTGCTCTGTTTTCAACGCCAGCACTTCTTTGATGCACAGAGATTCTGGCTGTTTCCTTATTCTCCCCTTTTTTCCTGCCTGTTGGGGTTCAGCCTGGGTGTTAACCTGAACCTGAACCTGCTTCTCTGATTGTATTTCCTGATGCTGCTGA